GCCATTGATGGGTCCTGGCATACAGATGAACCTAAATCCAGAGAAATAGGTGACAAAAATTCTTTTCTAAAAAACATTTTAAAAAATTTAATTAATTGATTTATTTTTTAAATTTACACCCAAATTAGTTAGCATATAGTGCAACAATGATTTCAGGAGTAGATTCCTTAATGCCCCTTACCCATTTAACCCATTCCCTCTCCCACAACCCCTCCAGTAACCCTCTGTTTGTTCTCCATATTTAAGAGTCTCTTCTGTTTTGTCCCCCTCCGTGTTTTTATATTATTTTTGTTTCCCTTCCCTTATGTTCATCTGTTTTGTCTCTTAAAGTCCTCATGTGAGTGAAGTCATATGATATTTGTCTTTCTCTGACTAATTTCACTTAGCATAATACCCTCCGGTTCCATCCATGTAGTTGCAAATGGCAAATTTCATTCTTTTTGATTGGCAAGTAATACTCCATTGTATATATATACCACATTATCTTTATCCATTCATCCATCAGTGGACATTTGGACTCTTTCCATACTTTGGCTATTGTCGATAGTGCTGCTATAAGCCCTGGGGTGCATGTGTCCCTTCGAAACAGCACCCCTGTATCCCTTGGATAAATACCTAGTAGTGAAATTGCTGGGTCGTAGGGTATTTCCATACTGTTTTCCAGAGTGGCTGCACCAGCTTGCATTCCCAGGCGACAAAAATTCTTAAAGACTAAAGATATTGTGATACACATGGGAACAACTCTCCTATACTTAAAATTGAGATAATGGAAAAATAGAGACATCTTAATTCATAATAATTTAAGAATGAGGCAGTTGGAATTAGCAAGAGATCTGTCTACATGGTTATGGCAGGGCAGAGCCATGGCCCAGAGTCAGACAGGGAGGTGTAGCAGCATCTTGCTAATAATGCTGGACCTTTGTACTGACCACTGTAGATGCAGCCTATCCAACCTCTTCCACAGAGGCTATACCTTCCAAGAACCTAAGGTTACTAAATGTGAAAATTTCTTTGCCTAAGTTTCCTTTCTACTCTGGGGTGGAAACCCTTGAAGAGAACCCAAATCACTATTCTTGTAGATTCAGAAACTGAAGCCAGAGAGGTTAAGTTATCTGCACAAAGTCACACATTGGCTTAGTGGCTGAGCTGCAACTAAACCTGGGTCTCTTGGGCTGCCTGGGTGGCTCAGTCGGTTAAGCATCCAACATCGGCTCAGGTCATGGCCTCACAGGTGGTGGGTTCAAGCCCCTTGTCAGGCTCTGTGCTGACAGCTCAGGCCCTATTGGATTCTGTGTCTCCCTTTTTCTCTGCCCCTCTGTCGCCCTCTCTCTCTCTCTCTCTCTCTCTCTCTCTCTCAAATAAATAATAAACATTAAAAAAAATTTAAACTTGGGTCTCTAGCTTCCCAAATTAGTGTTCCTTTCAGTGATCCATGCTGTCTTTGCTTATCCATTCAATTAGTAAATGTAATTGAAGGGACTCTAATTAGTTTGGCTCCTAAAGACTTCTGTGGTTAGTGTCAGACTGGCAACAAGGTTTGTCGTCCCCCCCGCCCGCCCCCCAGCTTTTGAGTCATGGCCAAATTTTGTCAATTATTTCAGAGGCTTGAAGACATCACGTGGAAGTCAAGATGATTTGAATAGCTGGACACACATGTCTGTCTATCTGTCTGATAAACACGCCTTCTGTAGTGCAAATTAGAGACTGTTATAATGTACCAAATGTAGATAGTCATTAGATACGGAGCAGTTGTGGCCAGTGCAGTGGTGACATTCCAGCTATCAGTATCATTGTGTGTTTTTTCCGGACCTGTGAGCTTTGACACCACTTTCCTATATAATTGAGGGGTTAGCAGTACTCTGGCAACCCAGGCATCCCAAGAAGCAGATGCTAGGGATGCAGGGGGCTGATTGGGCACCCCATGCACTTGGCAGTTGCATGAATAGGCACTGCCAGTTCATGGGTATGAGAAGCTTGGAGGTGTGAAGTACATTTAGATCTGTGAACTAATTGTTGGTGTCCCTGAGGGCACCTCTCAAGGAGTTGTCTAGGTGAAATCGACTTTCCTTCAATGGAAGAGACTCACCGAATTCCTAAGGGAGAGTCTGAAATTGACTCTTAGACCTCGGGGCTTACCGCAGTCCCTGAAAGATCAAGAGAGTTGGAGCTGATCATGGAAGGAAAGGCCACTGAAAGGTATGCCATCGTCTTGCACTGTTTGTATTACTTCATTCAAGGAGGGATGAACAGAGGAGGCTGTCTGTGGAACCCGTCTTTTTGATGCAGTCCAGGAGTAGAGAAATAGGACTCCTACAGCTTTTCCTTTTTTTATACTCCTCTTCCTGAGCTGTTTTTCTTGAGTACACTTGAACCGTTTGCCAGCAAAGAGTCTCCTTCTTTTGAATCTCAGCATTTGTTTGGGCGTAGGAAAGGTTTTTATGTAACTGGGGTATTTCTTCGTAATTATGTGGAAAAAAAATTTTTCTTTCAGAACTTTTAGGGCAAATCCTGATGAGGTATCAAAACGTACATGTTGGGGCGCCTGGGTGGCGCAGTCGGTTAAGCGTCCGACTTCAGCCAGGTCCCGCGATCTGCAGCGGTCATGAGTTGAGCCTTTTGCGTCCAGGCTCTGAGCTGATAGCTCAGAGCCTGGAGCCTATTTCGATCTGTGTCTCCCTCTCTCTCTGCTCCTCTGCGTTCATGCTCTATCTCTCTGTCCCAAAATAAGTAAGCGACAAGCATTACGTTGAATGTGCTGCACTGGAGACTCTAAAATGCCATATTGCCTTTAGAATGAAACACTGAAAGAGAGAGAATATCTGTTTTTTTTGTCTTGGGGTGTGAGATATTTTATGTTATCATTTAATATTAATATACAAAATGCTAGGATACTTGACCGCCTGCAGTTTTAAAATAGGACTTAGGAAATTATGTTAAAACTGCATCTAGGGGCGCCTGGGTGGCGCAGTCGGTTAAGCCTCCGACTTCAGCCAGGTCACGATCTCGCGGTCCGTGAGTTCGAGCCCCGCATCAGGCTCTGGGCT